CGATAGCACTGTGAAGTTGAAACTATCGGATTTTTCAGTTATGTATGGTGTGAGCGAGAATGCACAGTTTTCTGTGTGTTATTTGATAGTGTAATTTCAATTTCGAGCGTGATTGTGGGAGTCCAGTGGGGACATTGAATAATTTCAAAGACTCGCTGAGATATGGGTTTGTGAACTATTCTGTAAAACCAGCAGGCTGGTAGTGACAGACCACATCCGCACAGTATTCCGCCACAGCTGTTCAAGCACCCGGATATATCCAGGATACTTCGCTACCCGTTTGAGTTCCGAAATGGTTTCGTTTGGGCTTATAGTTTCGCACTTCTCAGTGGTGCATGATCCCGCTAGGGCGCATCTTTTCACCTGATAGATTTGCAATTTTGTAGGCCTTGTGAAAAATTCGATATTTTTGGTGCACTTGAAATTCACCGTTTTCTTAGTGATTTTTGCTACTCCTATCGTCTTATTCGAGTGCACTATTTCTATGCAGAGCTCGGATTGTAGCTTGTTAAACAGCAGCTCCCTGCTGTATTCAAGATGGCAGTGATTTAGTTCATTGCATACTTGTTCAGCGGAGTGTCGCATAACTCCGTGTTGGCACGCATTAATGGGCGACATCATAAGAAATATTGCGCACACCACCATGAGTGTTGAGCATGGTAGTGGTGCTAATTCAAAGCTGCAAGTTGGGGCAGATGGTTCACTGCGTTCCACCTTCTTGTCGAGTTTTGGGGTGCTCGATTCAGCCTTTCTTTTGATTTTGACTATTGCCCACGCAATCCCCATAAGGGCGGCAATGATCAAATAAATCAGGATAGCCGATGTGGCTATGGCTCCGACTGGCCAACAATGTGGATTTCCCAGTAGGCTTTTTGACAAGAAATACTGATGGTCACAAAATTTTGGCCTATCACATATTTTCGATTGTTCGTGTACTACTTCATTTTTGAGAGTTCGTAGTCGTACGTTCACTTCCCTGCTCGGTAGGCAAGATTGGTAAGATGTACTTGGTTGGTCGGGTTGTGTTGTTTAACGGTTGGCATTCGGTGCCGATGCAAACCTCAAACCAGCCGTTCATCGGCGGTATATAAACGATTCCTTTTGCGCATGATATTATGGAAGAGTTCTTGCTTGCTAGAGAGGTGGAAGCTAAGGTCAGAACTGTAAGGAACAGTAGCGCTGATTTCGCCGGAAATGGCGTTTTAGAGATTTGTACACTGCATTCCATGCTCCTGAAGAAATCATAAGCTCGCGTTTTTGAGTTGCGAGGTAGCATCCTTCTTGTAGCGTCTATCTCTTCACAATTCTCGTCTGGAACAGTGTCTTCGGAGTTGTTATTTCCTTCGATTTCGTTAGTGATAGATTCTTTCACTCCACTCCTTATTTCTAAGGGGTAGATTTTGTTTAGAGGTCTATGAATGATGTTTTGATTTGGCATCAGTATCTTTGCTGATCTAATCAGACCGTCGGACGAGGTGATGATTTCTGTGATTTTGCCGTAAGGCCAACTTCCTCTTGGGATTAGGTCCTGTTCATCAATACTACCTCACCGATTTCAGGGTACGTTCGCTGCAGATGTCTCGGTTGTTTAAGTGTTGTTTTTGCATTTCCCTCAGAGATACTAGGTACTCTGATTTCCAACACTTCCCAGAATTTGTTTGCTATATTCTCAGAGAATCGAATAGCTTCCATGGCTTGTTCCCTGGTCTGGATAAATTCTGGGTCATACGTAGGATCGTCATTGCCTGTATAGTTTTCTCCTTCCGGGAGGGAAAATTTAAGGTTCCCTTGTAGGAAATCTATGGGACGAAGAGGAATTTCTGTGATATCGTCCGAATTCAATTTTGTAAGTGGCCTTGTATTAAGAATGGCCTCGATTCTTGTAAGAACTGTAGACATTTCTACAAATGTTAACCTTTTACGTCCTATGGATTTGTTTAGCGCCTTTTTAACTGAGGCTACTAATCTTTCCCATACGCCGCCCATCCAAGGCGCAGCTGGTGGGTTGAACAACCATTTTATCCGCTTTGAAGCGCAGTAAGACATTAGGGAATGTCCTGTTAGTTCATTATTTTCAAACATGGTGGCTATAATCTGTTCGCCATGTTTGAAATTTGTTCCACAATCTGTCCGTATAATTCTTGGAACGCCTCGTCTTGATATGAATCGTATGAAGCTGTTCAAGAAAGCACCTGTTGATAAGTTCTCTACCAATTCGAGGTGAACTGCACGTGATGTGAGGCATGTGTACAAGCATACGTACATTTTATCTTGAGTTTTTGACGTGAATGGCCCTATAAAGTCACATCCAGTATTTTCGAACGGTTTAGACACGATTACTCGGTCTTGGGGTAAACTTGGCATTGCTGGAGCACCTAATGGTAGTCCTTGGTATCTCTTGCATGTTGTGCAATTTTTGAGAAATTTTCTGAAGGCATCTGAAGGACGCGGTATCCAGAATCGTTGCCGTGCGATTGTGAGGGTATGTTCCTTTCCACAATGAGCGTTTTCTATGTGGATTTGCTGCACAATCAAGCGAATGAGCTTCTGATTTTGTAGGAACATAAATAGGCGATTTGGTATCTCGAGGAATCGCTGCGTTTTGTAAACGCGATTGATGCCTGAATTAAACCATTTTCGTCTCGAATAAGATTTTTGTCAGTGAAAACGC